CAAAGGCTCCAGTGTATTAATTTAATATATATACCTGAATATTAATATGAAAGCAATTTGCCATTAACTGCCAGTGGCCTCATTTGTTACACTCGGCCCTAGCGGGCCTCGAACCTCTGATTAGTCTTACACGGTCTGCAACAAAAACCCTATACAGGGTAGCTATGAGTCAGAACCAACTCAGGTACTTAACAACAATGCTTCCATAAAGGATCCCTGTTACAGTACTTAACATTAGACTGCAAACCAAAAGGTTAACAATTAGAACCCACTGGCTTCTCCTTGGGAAAAAAATATTTCCATATGTCAGCTTCTATTACAACTGGAGCCTAAAACCTGTGACGTACTTAAGCAAGGAAATAGGCCATAAAATTAATCTAAAACATAGGGAAATGAAAGTAAAGGAAAGACCTATATAGGAAAATAATCAAAAGCCAGTGATAAATTACAGCACAAAATGCAGACCACAAAGTTTCTGCATGCAGATCCAGAATTTGACTTTGAATTGTTTAAGCGAAATAGAGAAACCTTATCTCCTTAAGATTTATGTCTAAGAGAGAAAACCCAGTTTGTTTCTTAGAAGAAACATGATTTTCCTAGTACGGAGGCCCAAGAGAAGTTTTTCTTCAGGATCGTCACAAATAGACTACTTTGAAAGACAAATACTTTGTACAGTATTCCTGCTATAAATAGATAGGGTTTATTATGCTTATTTTTTATAATGTCCCTCAGTGCAAGCTGCTGGAATGTCAAAGGCAGTTTGGTAAAGACTTCAAATGAATGCAGACCAAGTATGTAGGTCTAGTTTGGTCTGACTTGATTAGGAGATCCATTTTAGAATACCTAGAAAAATTACTGATCTGTATACCCTTCAGGCAATTCTCCCTGATTAGTATTTCTTGCACCTGAGCTTTTGATGGGACTTGAATAGTTCGAGGTTATATACTCTGGCAAGAACCTGGTGTGCAGAAATTAAAGGCTCTGTCAACCCATGGCATGTAGAATTGATGAGTAGGCATCATCTTATGCACATTAAAGAGTTTAAACAGGAAGTATGCCTGAACACCTGGTAATTCCACTTTTGTACAGAGGGCAACATAAACAATGCAGTGGTTAAGAAGACAAAGCTTTTGCTTGGAAACCAATGCAAATACATTTTACAGTGTTGAACATGAATATATCATCTCGCACATTTGTATAGTGAGTGATTCCACAGTGCAAGCAAGCAGAAGTAAGGCAGGGAGTGAAGAACAAAATCAGTGAGGGAGGCTAGCTCTTCATTTCTAAATGCATTTTAAAATGGTATCCGATGTCTTCTCTCTGCAGATCCACCATACATTTCAGAAGCTAAGGGCACAGGTGTCCCTGTGGGGCAAAAGGGAACACTGCAGTGTGAAGCCTCAGCGGTCCCTTCAGCAGAATTCCAGTGGTACAAGGATGACAAAAGGTAAAGTCTTCTTCCCTCCTTTCTCTACCAGGAACAGAAAGGCTTCTCAGGTTACAAATACAGAGACTTGCACATAAATTCCTATAAAGTCCTCTTTTGAATTTCTCCTATTTACAAGAGTATATAGTAAGGGAGTTTATGCAAACAAAATTTGTTCTTAATATTTCAGCTATGTTTCTGGGCTGAATCACTACTCACTAACCAACAAGACTAAAAACAAAAAAAAAAAAAACAAAAAAAAACCAAACTCTCAAAAGAAAGGGGATTTGGAATATTGTAAGGTCTGTGAATGTTTTATAACCTACAAAAATAACCGGTTTTACCTGGAACTATTTCTAACACTTTCTCAAACTTTCCTTAAGGAGTAAGAAGTCCATTGAATCTCTGGTGCAGACACTATCAGCAGCAGTATTAAGAGTCCTGACCTGATTTAGCCCTGCTTTGTGCTCAGGTTGCTCTTTCACAGTAGGAACAAAAAGTAGACTGCTCCCTTCCTGCCCACTGTTGCATTTGTTGTGATTCCCTGAAGATGATCATTTCAGGGAGTTACAGAATGCCATGTCTGCACAGGGCTCTCCAGTTCCCTATAGCCAGACAATATGACCATTGCTATTATTAAAGAGCTCTTTTAAGGTACTAAATGAATGCCCCAGGGCTATCTATTTTCAAACCATTTTCATATTAATATGGGTGTGGTGGGAGGATGCAAAAAAATTTAAAAAGTCCTGAAGTATATGTAGAGTATAAGAGCAAAATGAAGTTAGAGAGGCTGAGAAGCTGAGAAAGAAAAATAGCCAAAAAGGAAATCCATGAAGAACAGAGAGAGATTCAGGACCAGAGTAACCAAACTGTTGCCAACACTGTTCTAAACATCATCAAAGTGTTTTGGTTTATATTCCTCACACCTCCTGCAAGACAGTAAAAGTTCCTCTGATCTGATTCTCTCATTATCCATCTAAGTGACAAGCAGTGTTTTCCATTTTTAAAGATGAACTCTGGTAGCATCTTAATGAGATGTGTCAAATTCATGTAGCCTATTTTACAGAACAAAGAAGCGAGGCAGAAAAAGGAAAAACAAACTGACAAGGAGGTAAGGTGAAATGTAGCCATTTTCTCTCTCTTCTAACAAGTCAGCATCAAAGAGAGAGAACTGATGCTACTCTAGTAAAAAGGGTGTTACCCTACTCAGAAATCTTGCTTAAGCTGTTTGTTTTTTCCCCCCCAATAGTGCAATGATTAAACCCTCAACTGCTAATCAGAATGCTAGTAGTTTGAACCTACCAGCAGCTCCCTGGGAAAACAACTTTGCGATCTGCTGCCACAAAGATTGCTATTGTTGTTACGAGCCTTCGAATTGATTCTGACTCTTAGTGACCATATACAGGGCTTCTGAGAAGCACCTGGTGGCTTTGAGCTGCCAATCTTGCGGGTTGCTATCCAGTGCTTATCCTACAGTACCATACCAGGGGTCTCCCATAAAAATTATAGCCTAAGGAAACTTATGGAGTCCTATGTGGTGCTGTGGGTTAATGTGACTGCAAAGTCAATTTGAACCACAAGGTCGGTGGTTGAAGCTCACCAGCTGTTCCTAGAAAACCCTGTACAGGGTCACTATGGGTCATAACTGACTCAACAGCACTTAACAAGAAAACAACAAAAAACTTTATGGGGTAGTTCTAGTCTGTCATATAGTGTCACTGTGATTGGAATATAGTTGATGGTACACAGCAACAACATATTAAAAGGAAAACTAATTTGTAAAGGACGATAAACATATATGAAAGAGGGGGAGAACTATAGGGTCAGGTCCTAAAACATCACGTGTCCTGGCTAATCATCTGAATCTTATCATTTTGATTGCTTATGAGGGAAATAAACAAGTAAAATGCAGGGAAGAGTTAAATCCTGAAATATATTAAGGAAAGAAAATGTACAGAAATGTGGTTATAGGGCCTCTGGGTAGTACAAAAGATTAAGTGCTTAAGTTTACCCAGAGGAGCCTTGGAAGAAAGGCCTGTTATTGTTGTTGTTGTCAAGTGCTGTCGAGTCGATTCCGACCCATAGCGACCCTGTATAGGGTTTCCAAGGAGCAGTTGGTGAGCTTGAACCACCGACCTTGCAGTTCAAATGGCTTTGCAGTCTGGCACATTAACCCACAATGCCACACCAGGATTCCGTTGTTATTGTTAGGTGCCATCAAGTCAGTTCTGACTCACAGCGACCTTATGCAAAACAGAATGAAACAGTGCACGGTCCTATGCCATCCTCAAAATCATTGTTGAGCTTAAGCCCATTGCTCTTGCCACTGTGCCAGTCCATCTCATGGATGGTCTTCCTCTTTTTCAGTGACCCTCCACTTTACCTAGCATGATGTCCCTTTCCAGGGATTGGTCCATCCTGATAATGTATCCAAAGTACGAGACATGAAGTCTCGACATTCTGTCTTCTAAGGAGCATTCTGGCTGTACTTCTTCCAACACAGATTTGTTTGTTTTTCTAGCAGTCAATGATACTTTTAATATTCTTTTCCAACACTAAGACTCACATACATCAATTCTTCTATGGTTTTCCTTATTCACTGTCCAAATTTCACATATATATGAAGCTATTGAAAATAATGTGTTTTGGGTTAGGTGCACCTTATTCCTCAAACTGACGTCTTTGCTCTTGAACACTTTAAAAAGGTCTTGTGCAGCAGATTTCCCTAATTCCATATGGCATCTGATTTCTTGCCTGCTGTTTCCATGAGTGTTGAAAGTAGATCCAAGAAAAATGAAATCTTTGATAACTTCAATCTTTTCTCCATTTATCATGATGCTATTTATTTATTGGTTGAGTGGTGAGGATTTTTGTTTTCTTTAAGTTGAGGGGAAACCCATACTGAAGGTTGCGGTTCCAGATCTTCATCAGTAAGTATTTTAAGTCCTCTTCACTGTCAGGAAGCAATATTGTATCATGTGCATATTGCAGGTTGTTAATAAGTCTTCCTCCAATCCTGATGCTATGTTCTTCTTCATGTAATTCAGCCCAACTTAGAATTGAATAAGTATGGTGGGAAAATAAAATACACACTGATACACACCTTTCCTAATTCTAAACCATTCAGTGCCCCCTTTGTTCTGTTCGAACAGCTACCTCTTGGTCCAGAATACTCATTCTCCCCAATGTTGTCCATAACATGTCATGATCCACACAGTCAAAAGCATTTGCATAGTCAGTAAAGCACAGGTAAACATCTTTCTATTATAATCTATTTCAGCAAAGATCCATTAGAGACCAGCAATGATATCCCTCGTTCCACATCCTTGTCTGAATCTGGCTTCAACCCTGTCAATGCACAGTTGCAGCTGTCTTTGAATTTTCTTTAGCAAAAATTTACTTGTATGTGATTTTAATGATATTTTCTGATGAAATCCACATTCTGTTTGAAATGGGCACAAATTAGAATCCTTCCAATCAGTTGGCCAGATAGCTGTCTTCCATATTTATTGCCATAATTGAGTTCATGCTTCCAGTGCTGTATCAGTTTGTTGAAAGATTTCAATTTGTATTCCATCAGTTCCTGGAAACTTGTTCTTTGCCAATACCTTGGACTTCTTTCTTCAGCACCATTGGCTGTTGATCATATGCTATTTCTTGAAATGGTTGGATATCAACCATTTCTTTGTGGTTCAGTGACTTTGTATATTCCTTCCATCTTCTTTTGATGACTTCTGTATCATTCAGTATTTTCCCCATAGAATCCTTTGGTGGTGGTGGCTGTGTGCTGTGGAGTCGGTTCTGACACATGGTGACCCTGTACAGGGTTTTTGATTCTGTAAATCTTTACAGGAGCAGAATGCCTCATCTTTCTCCCACAGAACAGCTGGTAGTTTTGAACTGCTGACCTTACCGTTCATAACCCGATTCATAACTACTACACTACCAGAGCTCCTTTGAATCCTTTGGTATTTCAAAGCAGCACTTGAATTTTCTATTCAGTCCTTTCAACCTGAGAAATACTGAGTGTGTTCTTCTTCCATTTTGGTTTTCTAACAGTTTTTTGCACATTTTTTAATGATGCTTGACTTTGTCTTCTTGAACTACCCTCTGAAATTCTCTATTCAGCTCTTTTACCAATTTATGTCTTTCATTTGCTTCTCTATGCTTGGGAGCAAGTTTTGAGAATCACGTCAGACATCCAGTTTGGTCTTTTCCTTCATTCTTGTTTTCTTGATAACAAATTGCTTTTTTCCTGTGTGATGTTCTTGATGTGAACTTCAAGGTCAGTGGTTCAAGCTCACCAACTGCTCCTCAGGAAAACTATACAGGCATCAGAACCAACTCGACGACACTTAACAACAATACAACTCTTCTCGTCTTTGGTCATTAGTGGCTGATCAAATCTGTTCTTGAGATGATTTCTAACTTTAGGTGGCATGTGTTCAAGGTCAAATTTTCATTCTCTTGAATCTGCTTTAATTTTTTTTCAGCTTCTATCTGAACTTGTATATGAGCAATTGAAGGTCTATTCTACAGTCTTCTCCTGGCTTTGTTTTGATTGTTCATAGGGAGCTTTCCCACCATCTCTTCCCACAGATGTAATGAAGTCAATTTGATTTCTGTGTATGCCATCTTGGGAGGCCTATATGAATAACATAAACATAGTCATCTTTTATGTTTAAAGTAGGTATTTGCAATGAACAGACATTGATTTTGCAAAAATTCTATCATGTGACTTCCAAAATGGTTTCTATCATCAAGTCCATACTTTCCATCTACTTATCTTTCCTGTTTGTTTCTAACCTTTGCATTCCAATCACCAGCTGTTATCTGTATGTCCTGATTTCATGTTTGATCAATTTCAGACTGAAGAAGTTGGTAGAATTCTTTATCACTAGCTTTAGTGTATGGTGCATACATTGGAATAATAGTGGTATTCACTGGTCTTCCTTGTAGGTGTATGGACATTATCCTATCACAGACAGCATTATACTTCAAGATAAATCTTGAATTGTTCTTTTTGATCATGAATGCAACAGCATTCCTTTTCAATTTGTCATCCCTGGCATAGCAAACTATACAACCGTCAGATTCAAAATGGCCAATACCTGTCCATTTCAGCTCACTAATGCCTAAGTTATCAATCTTTAAGACTTCCATTTTACTTTTGACTACTTCCAATTTTCTTAGATTCATACTTAGTAAATTGAATGTTCCAATTATTAATGGATGTTTACAGCTGTTTCTCTTCATTTTGAGTTGTGCCCCTTATGAAAATGTATGTCCTGAAAGCTTTACTACATTTGCGTCATCATAACAAACTCTACTTTGAGGAAGCAGCTCTTCCCGGTTTCAGTATTCAATATTACAGTAGTACTGATAGTGTTCCACTGCTATTCATAAGGTTTTCAGTGAGTAAACCTTCAGAAGACTTCCTTTCTCCCTACACTGTTTTAGTCAGGAAGATAAGCTGAAACTTGTCCATGATGGATAACCCTGCAGTTATTTTAAATACTGGTGACATAGCTTCTAGCATTATAACAACACACAAGGAAGCAGAGTACAAAAAACTGACAAACAGGTGGTTGTCTACTTGCAAAAAATCAGTCATTGAGAACCTTATGGAGTGCACTTCTACTCTGATACACGTGAGGCCAGCATGAGTCAGAGTCCACTTGATGAGAACTGGACTGATGGTTGTAGGATGGTCAGCACTGTCTGCCCTGCACGATTACCAGGTGTGGAAGGGGAGACAGCATCAACACTGAGGGTTCCAAAAAGCCCCAAACACAGGCACTTGTATCTGACCTTTTGCTGATTCCGCCTGAGGGTGACTCCTTCTCTCCCCTTTCAGTTGATTTTGCCCAACCCTCCATTTGCTTCTCCTTTACTTATCTATTCCTAATTGTCTCCCTTTGAATGGCATTGTCTTTTCTCCTGGCATCAAACTGAACAAGCACATCTTTGCCTCTAAGGTCCTTATCATTTAGATGACCAGGCATGCCTGTGCCATCTAGGTTGCCAGACATCCCCTGCCAGATAAGTCTCACAGGGCACGTTTTATACTGTTCTACCATGGGGGAGACCAGCTCTAACCCACCTCACACATCCTATGAGATGAACAGACTTCAGAGACAAATCAAAGGTTACCTGTTTGATAAGGACCAAGCAGTTTTCTAAAAAATTGGAATAGAAGTCTTTTAGCTACAATCTAGCTAATTTACTCAACTGCTTGCCACTGCATGTGGTTATCTATCATGGCTAGAAGAAATTGTAATTGTGCACTTATAAGGGCCACACTGCCACAGGGCCATCTTCCGAAGAAGAAACTCCAGGGCCATTAAGGAGCTGCAGCTGGTAGAAGTGTGGGGCTGAGGAAAATGTGTGACCACACTGAGAAAGGAGAGTGAGTCATTCCAGGAGCTGTAAAGTGCTGCAAAATGCTGCTGGCTACCCTATACTGCTTTTAGCTAAAGACATTTCAGAGCTGTCAAACTGGATCCTACTCCCCACTACAGAGCCTAAATCTAATTCACAGCTTGGTTCTGATGTGAAGTCTTTCTCCTTAACCCATGAAGAGCGTCAAGATGGCAAATGGGATCAGTATGCTTGACTAGCTTAGAGAGCTTCCTGGTGGGAGAGATATAGTTCCTTCTCCAAACACTACCCCCTACAGGGTCCATATCCATAACAAGCTGGGCACAGAAAAGTGGTGTCTTGCAACACAGTCAGATGTCTTATTGTGTTTGGACAATGCTCAGCATTGTAATGATGACTGTAGATTGTGGACCAGTTCATTGCTCCTAGTTTATGAGAGAGGGAGGATCTTACATAATAATGAAAATCTCTTCAACCAACCTTTCTGACATTTCTGGAGACAGATGTCCTTTGAGAACCCAATTTAATCCAGAACCCAGCTCTCTCTTCTGATCAAGGTTACTACATGTTAACTGAGTGTTGTTAAGTGCCGTGGAGTTGGTTCTAACGCAGAGGGTTTCTGAGAATGTAAATCTTTTCCGGAGCAGAAAGCCTTATCTTTCTTCCTTGGAACAACTGATGAGCTCTACCCAACTACCTTGCAGTTCTCAGTCCATTGCTTATGCTACAGAATAGGGAAAATCATTTTGTCATCCTATGGTCCCACCACAGAATTGAAGTCTTCAGATCTTGACAAAGCAACTGCCTATCGTGCCTAAAATCTACTGTGTCCCCTGGGCAGGCAGGAATTCCCAATGTTTAACTCCAACTCTTATAGTTTACAAAGCATTTTCTTATCATTGTTCTCCTCGACATCACTTTCTATTTTTTTCCCCTCAAATATTGTCTTTCGGTTTGATTACCAGCCATTTTCTCCAAATCATGTGCCCTCTACATGCTCCTAGGAGCTTTTATGGTGCCATGGACTAGACATTGGATTATGATTACTAACTACAAAGTTGGTCATTCGAACTCAACGAGCTGGTGATTGGGAGAAAGATGAGGCTGACTGCTGCCAAAAAGATTTACAGTCTCAGAAATCCTAAGGAGGCACTCTTTTTCTGGCCTATAGGGTGACTGTGAGCCAGAATCAATATGATGGCAGTAGACTAGCTTTGGTTTTGAGCATGTGCCAACCTTCATCCAGCTTGATATCATATATAGGTTGCTTTCATAGCTCCTGGCAGGTTCTATACAGGCAAGTCAGATTTGTGACCACATGCCTGATATCCTTCATTAAAAGGTGGGTTTTTTTCCTATATAATATTAATCTTTCCTTTAATGTAGAATCAGCTATGGGCAAGGAAGACAGATTGTTTCAGGGAAAGTAAAAGGTTGGCTTTAAAGACTATTATTTGAAATAGGACACTTTAGAGCTTTTAATAAGCAGAGTTGGTCTCATAATTTGCATGTAGACATAACTTATAATAAGAGTTGCTGCTGACAACCTCCAAAAAGTGGAGGCTATGCTTCTTTTTTAGGGTGTGTGGTAACTCTGTAGGATAAGCACTAAACTACAAATCACAAGGTTAGCTAATAGAACCCACCAACCTCTCCATGGGAGAAAGATGAGGCTTTCTGCTTCCACAAAGATTTACAGCCTTGGAAACCCTTTACATGGTAGCTAAGAGTCAGGACCAACTTGATGGCACATAACAACAATAACAATGCTTCTTTTTTTTTTTTTTTTACCAGCTCTTAACACTCATTTCTCCTTCCCCTATTCATCTGCCTAGAGATGGAATCCATGTTTCTTATAGATATATGTATCTATAATTATCTGTGGGATTTCTCTAGTATCCTATCACTAACATCAAACCCTTGTAACATATTGGGTTGCCATAATGGATTGTTGTTCATGGAACCTGTCCGGACTCAATAGAAAAACATTCTTAGGTACCTATAATCCTCAGTGACTGTTCTGCTATGATATTTTAAGAAGATCACCTCTCCCAAGCCCTTCAGGTCCTCTTAATATGAAAATGATCCATGATTCTTTTCTCCTGTTCATGGCCAAAACTAAAATATTATCTGTATAGTACAAGGTCTTAGAGGAAATATTGTTACCCAAGTACTTGAAGAGGATGTTCTTTCAATCCTCTGAGGTTATTTTTCTCTTTGAAGTTTGAGGGATTTTTTTTTTTTTTTCGGTCATAATTGTTATCACCATCATCACCATCTTCATTGTCATCATCATCATCAACATCCAATAAATCCAAGCTATTAAGCACCGACTTTGTTGATAATACTGTTCTGGATGTCCCAGCTAGTACATTGCATTTGTTATGCTAGGAATGACAGGTTTACAAACAAGGGAAAGAGGCTGCACCTGCTTTCATAGAACTTAAATGTCTGTATGGTGAGATACTACATCCTGACAGGACACATTTGTAGACACACACATAAAACAGAGAAACATGTCAGTGTGTGAACTTATTGTATAGTTAAGTAGAAAATACAGTTGTCATAATAATGTCAGAAAGCGGGCAATGTGAAAATCATTAATTCCAGAATCTATCGTATTCCTATGAGAGAATTATAACCAAGTCATTTATTTCTTCTTTTTTGTCTTTCTCTTGTGTGCCTCAGGCTGGCTGAAGGAAAGAAGGGGGTCAAAGTGGAAAATAGACCATTCCTCTCAAAACTCATCTTCTACAACGTCTCTGAGCATGACTACGGGAACTATACTTGTGTGGCCTCCAATAAGTTGGGCTATACTAATGCCAGCATCACACTATTTGGTGAGACTGAGCCCTGAGCTGGGTAATGAAAGGACATGGACGTGAAGAAGGGAAGGGAACATGAAGAAAGGGGAGAGGGGATTTGGGGACAGAGGATTCAAAAGGGCAACTTTCTGAGAATAAAAGTTAATTAGGCAGTAATAATTGAGTGAGAAGGAGAATAGGACAGAGAATGGTAGTACATGTATAAAAGCAGACACTGGGCATGCCAAAAGAGAAATTTTCTGCACAAGTATGTTTCATTTTATGGGGAAATCCTAAAATAGGAAAAATACCTGGTGTGCTGAGATTATAATTATAATTATTATTTTATCTAGTTCTAGCTCCTAAACTAACTATGGGATCCTGGTGTGGCACTGTGGGTTAATGTGCTGGACTGCAAGGTTGGTTTGAACCACAAGGTCAATGGTTCAAGCTCACCAGCCGCTCCTTGGAAACCCTATACAGGGTCGCTATGAGTCAGAACTAACTCGACAACACTTAACAACAACAGCATAATGGTAAAGAGTGGAATATTTTCGATTTCAATATTTTGTTCCCTGGACCACTGTAGAATGTATCCTTTTCTAACCATTGAGACATAGGAAAAACTCTGAATTGTATTTAGAAAAGTGATTCATGGGCCTTGGGATTCAGAATAAGATTAGCTTCAAAAGAAGAGGAATAGAGCAGTGGGGTTTCCTGAGGTCTCTTTGTATCAAAGGACATGGTCTGGCTAGATTAAGTTACATGTCCACCTAAGTCACCATCCTGGCAGATCCACCTATCCATTTCACATTACACAAACATTTACTGAGGGACTAATATGAGCTAGACAAATTTCTGAGCCTTCACTACACATCTTGCTATTGTATTAATAGTTGAAGCAGCTAACCGTAACCACCTTCTAGATAACCTTAGTACCCACTGTGTCATCAGGGACAGCCTATGGGGATCTGGTGCTGAGGCAGAGGGAGAAAAGGGGCCCCAGAAATCAGGATTAAGCCTAAGGCACTTATTGACCAAAGTCTTGAGGAATGTTGAGGACTGTGCCCCTCCATGCTTGAATAATTGTAAAGATGTGTAGGACATGCTCAGGATGATTAACTGAGCAACCACATCCTGGAACATGCCATTAAGAACATTTTTATGGGACATGCCACCCACAAAAATTCCATTAGGGAAGACCACCCATAAATTCTTTATTTCCTTGTATGATGTCTTACAGACCGAACTGGTCTACCCAGTACCCTAGGCATAACTTTAAAGGACTACCTTCTACTGGGGCAGAGGAGTATACCAACCCCTCAGAATAATTTGAACCAGGTGGGTCCCCAAGAACCACACCTGCTCCAAATTGCAGACTAAATTTTATATCCTCCTGGTGTGGTGCTGTAGGGTAAGCACAGGACTGTTAACCATCAAGACCAGAGGTTCAAATCTATCAGCTGCTCCCCAGAAACCATATACAGGGAGCGTTGCTATGGTTTGGAACTGACTCGACTACACACAACAACACTACCTGTGACCTTTGCGACTGACTCTATCTTGAAGACATGTACACATGCACTCAGTTAGCATAGTCCCTCTGAAATGGGCCCATTTCCAGAAATAAGCACCTGCCTCTATAAATAAACATGATGTCTTTCCCCATCTAAACCCCTTTTAAACCTCAACAAACCAGTTGTTCAGAGAGTCAGGTGTTAAGCATTGCATTAAGCCCTTCTGGTCTCAGCTTGTTAGCCTCTTCCCTAAAATAAATCCTTGCTTGGTGGAAATTTTGACTCACCTGGCTATTCTTAATCAGCAAACACAACAGCCTTCTCTTTCAGAGCAGAGGTTCTATCAGCCCTCCTGGGAACAGTGGTGTTCTCATTCTGTTGTTGTTAGGTGTTGTCCAGTCAATTCCAACTCTTAGCAACTCTATGCATAACAGAAGGAAACACTGCTCATTCCTGTATTAACCACACAATTTTTGTTACGTTAGAGTCCATTGCTGCTGACACTATGTCAATTCATCTTGTTGTGGGCCTGCCTCTTTTTTACTTTACCTTCTCCAGGCATTGTTTCCCCTTGATAACATATCTGAAGATGAGAGTTCTCATCCCTGGGTAGGAACAAATCCTCACATAAGTCACAGGGTTCATTTTTGTCACCTTTGAGGCAAGTCCCTCCACATCCAGCCAAGATCCGTGATCTCAGAATTGTTCAAATCAACTCCCTTAGCCCCTTGTTAGGGGGTTGATATGATGCTGTATGGCAAGCACTATACTACTAACCTAACTGCAAGGGCAAGCTACAGCAGTTCAAATCCACCAACCACTCCTTAGAAACCCTACACAAGGTCATAATAATTTGGAAATGACTTAAGGGCACTTAACAACAACAATAACAACAGGCCTCCTTATTAAACAAGCATTCTTGTATGTGAATGTAGGGTCCAGGTGAGGAATTTAGCCTAGAATGCAAATTCCTCTTATACTGAGTATGAGTCAATCACCCCATAACTTCCCATTATTCCCACTCAATGTCACAAACTCACCACAGACATCACAGTGCACTCAGCTTGCTCTGAGTTAACAGCCTGGGCCACTCCATTCTTTTGTCCCTGCTTCCAGTCATACTCCAAGCCTGTGCCCAACACATAAAGTGAAGCTCAGCTTCAGCTAGAGGCCGAAGTCAGAATGGGCAGAGATGTGAGGGGAGTGATTGATCTGTCTGACACCTCTCACACAGAGATAGTCATAATTGCCCCTCACATTTGTCAGCATTTTTTGACTTTTTGGCAGGTGTCTGCATGTTCAGAAGGTTCAGATTAGCAAGGAGTGACCCCTCCTCTTAGTCCCTGCACAGCTATGGCTCTACTCCTACCCTACCAAAGTCTTGCTGTCCCCACTAGCCGTCCTCCATTTCTGTAAGCATAGTCCTCCTCCCTCCTGTGGTCTCATCTGTCTTCTGATGTGATTGCATGAAATAATTTTGCAATTGGCTTTATCACTGCTAATTCCCTGGCCCGTTCCCCTTAATCCATCTCAAAAGGAGAATAGGGAGAAGCAGAAAACTTTTTATTTTATTATTATTTTTTTAAGTAAATTAGCTGGCATTTATGACAAGGAAACTGTGAGGCATGTATCATAAGCCTGCCCTTTTCATTAAACCTTTGTGTGGGAATTATAACCTCTGCTTTCTCCTAGCCCCACTGGTCTGCTGGTCTTCACACAAGGGCATCATGTGTGATATCTCAACCCATCCTGTTTTCAGGACTCAGTGATGGCATGTCTTCAATACATTTAGGAAAGATTGGGTTAAGCAAAAATTTTGAAAGGTATACGTGGGAATTTAACACAGAAATTCTTGGCACCTTCACCCTGCTAAATCTCAAGATGGAGGTCAAGTTTACATTTCAAGTTTATTTTCCTCAGAAACTATTTCTTCATCTTACTTGAAAAACCCTTTCTGAGGAGCTTCTCACAGAGATGCTGCTTTGGTGTTGGAGTTCCATGGGACTAGGGAAACTGCACTAATGCAGGGGGTGGGTGTTTTCACTCCATCTGCACCAGCCCAGAGTACCGAGACACTATAGAGACTCTCCTAGTCATTATTGTGGCTCACCATTGATGACACCCTATTACAAATATGAATCAGCCAAGAAATTTTCAGCACACTTTTCCTTTATCAGAATACCCCTCAGTGCAGAGTAATCAACTTGATTTGGGTAGGAAGATAAGCACAATTTATTTGATGAGAATGCATGAACTTAGTGATGAGTTCTTTCTCTTGAATGAGGCCAGCTAGATTATAGTCATTTTATCAATGATTTGTCCACAAACTGCACATGTGACCTGGACACGGGAGTGAAATAATGATAAGTGCTGAGAGACTTGTGTCAAATGGAGAGGGACAGTAGGGTCTTTCCTATTCTAAACCAGTGAGAGTTCTGAGCACTTGTCCTCTAAGCTTGCAGAGATCACATTCCTGAGTCACAGTGGTTCTGGGAAACTTGCCCTGCCATGGTGCCATGGGAACAGAAGGTTCTTGAATGTGCCGTAGCACAGTGAAACACAGGCTGGGGTGTTGGACTTAAGGTGCTGGACTTTCATTCCTAAATCCATGCCCAGTTCAGCACAAACCAAAGGTATGTTCATCTGCACTGGGCAGTGTACAGGGTACCCAAATATTGCACCCAAGAACAGAAATGTAAAGCATTTCCGTTTCTCAGGCATACTTTGTCATCTGACTTCATCTTCTTTTATTTATCAATTCCTTCAGAATATTTATAAAAGACAGAAAACAAACTACGCATGACACATACGTAGGTACTTATACAACATACATGTTTGCTTTAATTTTTCTCTCCAGTATGTCCTTCACCTAACTAAATAAACCTACAAATTCAACTTTGTCCCAAGGTCAGTATCCCTTTGCTTTCTGGTTTTTTTCTCACCTCCTTGATCCCAGAACCCCAGTGGCCTCTTTTATTTTCCTGCTGTGCATTACCTGAGGGGAGTAGGAATGGAAGGAGATTGGAAATTGAAGAAAGGCCGAAGGAGGGTGTTTTTCTCTAATTATCTCTTATCCACACAAGGCAGGCTGGAGGAGAAAAGAAAAGAAAGCATCCCTAAAGTCTCAGTTCAGAGATCAAAGTGAAGATGAAAGGTTCTATGTATGAGCCCGAACCTTGAGGAACTGAGCATTTTATCTGACAAGAGTCCCATTGAGAACCCTTCAACAATAAACTCCAGCCATGATGATGATGATTCTAATAGTCCATAAATGCATCAACTTACAATTATTTCCTCCCAGGGAAGGAAGGAGAGCGAGTATATGCTGTATAGCTGTATGAAAGTGGGGTGTCACAGAGCTCTGGTCTAGATCCTGTCACTTAGTAGCTCTGTGTCCATGCAAGTTACTCAAACTTATTTAGACCCAATATTCTCCCCTGCAAATTGGAATTGATATTTCTTGCCTTATCTACTTTACAAAGATCTTAGACCTTCCCTGAGAATGCATAATTTAAAGGT